TACTGGTCTTTGTTGACATGCACATCATGTAAATCAAGTTACCTGACCACATAATCATTATTATTAAATGTCAACAGCTCAAAAATAGATAGAAAGTAGAAAAAGTATTATTATGTTTGTTTACTATATATTTATTACCAACATTAAAGACATATACCTTACCCCTTAAACAACATTCTAACTAAAAAAATGTTATTAAAAATCCAGTAACATTTATCTCATCAGGGTTCAAAATTTCCTCTTGGCCACTAGCCATCAGTGAGTTAAAATTCAGCCAGCCCTAGTATGTAGAAAAAAACAAAAGTGTGCCATGGATCCTCCAGATTTGCAGTAGTCTTGTCTAGTAGTGCAAAATTTTAAATTTTGAGTTCTAATCCCATTGTCTGTAAATGTTGATGACTCTAGTACACTACATGGCCCTACCGCTCTTGTTAGACTATAAGCACAGTTAAAAATGCCATGCTACTCATTCTAAATATGCTATATATTAAATAGGATATTGTGTGACATGAAGTTATAGTTAAAGGTGAAAATAAAAGTTACATTTTTGATAGCTCCACTTTTAAATATTCTAAAATTGCTCTTTCCATATAACAGATGTTGTATATTAATAAAAAGTCGATTTTAGTTGTCTTTATTAATAGTTATCTTGTTTATGTTGTGGTATTTCACAGAGGCAGCAGAAGGAACATCAGGACTTGGAGGAGGAACAGGTACTATGGGTCTTAGTGCTCGTTATGGGCCACAATTCACCCTGCAGCATGTTCCTGACTACCGGCAAAATGTCTACATCCCAGGAAGCACATTAACACCCACCAATGGTGCTGGGAAACGTGAAGGGAAAGCATCTGGTAACAAGAAGAAATCTGGAAAAAAGGAGAAGAAATAATCAGCAAAATGTATAGCTTTAGATCAACAGGGCAGAAATATTTGAATAACTTCACAAATTAAACCCAAGAGGGGAAGTTGAATGTCATCTATGGATTGAAATGTAATATAAAAAAATAAAAAAGAAGATTAAAACAAAATCATTTAAGAGAATGTATCATCATCAGGACTACAAGCAGAATTTTCCTAATTTCTCAGATTTTTTTTTTCTGCTATTAGGACTCGTGATGAAAGCATTCCTTTAAACCTCTTAAACAAGTGCCCTGTGTATATGCGCTAATGTTTTGTACAAGTGCAGAGTAATTTCATAGCTAACAATATGCACTCTTTTTACAAACTGTAAAAAATTTGATTTGTTCCCAAATGCACACCTGTGGAACTTCTTCCAGTGTAAATAATTGCAGCTAAATAGATATTTATAATTTATATGCATTCAGGTATTTGCGAAATACTCCTAGCCTGTAATCCATTTTCCAAATTTTTGTCATTTTGTTATTTTAAGAACGTATTACTGGCAGTACTCAAAAAAGTTTTTTTGATTTTTTTAAATATGGCTGAGTAACAGTGGCTTAGCTAAGAAAACGAAAAACATTAGAAAAGTTAAAAAAAAAATGTTTTTTTAAAGGCTTGCAAGCAAATTGTATATAAACAAAAGAATGGAATAAGCAGCATTCAATCTGCATGCCCGGAGAGGTATTGATCTTGGATAATGGATATATTTGAGTATATACAGCTTAAAGAGATCAACATTTTGGGAGATATGTACTATGGGCACACAAGAATGGGAAACATGTTGCCATATTAAGTGCTATTAAAACATCAAGATTGACTTTGCATTCTTTAGCATACATGCTTAATTAAACAACAAGCAATTAGAGAAAGAGTAATATCTCTAATTATCACATCTGAACACATTTCTCCCTTTATAGTGTACATAAAGCTACTGATAAACAGAAATATAAATTGTGTTGTGCTGTACGTAAGTCAATACTGTACTTTTGATGGTTGGTTTGTTAGTTTTTTATTGTTTTTTTTTTTTTTTAAATAGGAACTTTATTTTAAGTAAGTAAACCCCTCATTATTTCAATTATGAAAATCGACCATGGAAAATCATTTGGAAAGTTCCACTCTCAGAGAAATTAATCAAATTCTTTACACTTCTGCACATAGAATTGCATGTCTAATTATCACATGGTATCAGCAATTCCACTTGACATTGGGACTTTGTTGCATGTACTTAGCATGGGGTAATTCATTCTTTATATAGAATGGTAAGTAAGTATGTAAACCTGTTATGTGCAGGTAAAAACATTTTTGGATAGAAACGTATAGGAGTGATACAATGGGGGAGGGGAAAATGTCAACGATAAGCAAACATATACACTTTATATTAGCTGTGCAGAACAGAATACAATGATCTTAAAAATAATTATTTATTTGTACTTAGCACTTAATACATACAAATGCGTTTCTTTTGGGTTTTGTTCTATCAGTGGAAAATCATATTCATAGTGGGATAGATCTCCTAGTATGTAATGTAGACACCAAGAAGACAGCTAGTAGGTGCAAGGCTATTAATCAGATACTTTTGAACAATTCATACTGAAACCATTTTGAATGCATTTTTTGCAGTTTGGTTAACGTCATCATGTTGTTTGCTTATATATAAATATATATAAGAGGTACAAATGGGGCACACCTTGTACATTTGCCCATAATGGGGCACAGCCTGAATTATATGTTTATGCACGGTCTACATTATAAGAAACATCAAAGAGATAAAACAAGTGAAAAAGCTGACAATAGAATGCAGAGAGGAAAAAACACATGTCCCTTTGATTTGCAGGGAGTAGAGTAATCTGTATGCACCATAAAGCAATGCAGTTAAAAATTTGAGTAATCTGTAGAGGGCAAATTTAGCACTCACTACAAAAAGCTAGCCAGCCACACTAACTAGCTGAGTATTGAGTTGACCAAAAATGAATGCATCTTGATAAGTATCCATAATGCAATTAACCTGCATTTGGTTATTTTGTTTGTCAGTCAAAATCTCTTTGGTAGAAATAGTTTGATATAAGAACTCCTGATTCTGATTGAAACCACTGAATTAAATATGTTTCTTATTTTGTTCATAAATTAGATTTTTAGGAGTCCATCATGTACAGTGCTGTTCACTTATTGCTAAACCTCAAAGACAATCTATAATTTTTGTTCCATGCAGCTTTAGAATGTTTAAAGTGCCTCTTTGAAGAAGGCAAGCTAAAGCGTAAAATCCAGATTTAATAAGACATTGATCTTTTCTCCATAGACCATCCATGTGCTAACAAGGTTGGTTTTGATTGTGTTTATTGCTATTTCTTAATGGATCACTGCACCTTTGAACCATCTATTGTTGCATACTAATAACTATTTTCAAGTGAAATCAAAAATTGCTACTGTGGCATCAGACTAACACTGTCCTGATTACTAAATTAATGTAACATTAATCTATATTTAACTGTGTCATTACTCTTTCTATCTCCCATTTACAAAATGATTGGAAGAGATTATTAAACTGAGCTAATCTTCACCACCCTCCCCCTGGGTTCTGTGGTAGTATCATTTACACTGCTTTTAATACATGATGCAGTCATGTGAGTAGGTTAGCAGTAGATGACATGTTTGCTACTTTTTATTTCCTTTCAAATAAATAAAATAAATATTCATTGTAGAAAAGCTATAGTCTTGTAAAAGTAACGTGTTTATTTTCCTCTTAGTAGCTAACTTGTGAACAGCAGTATTTTAGTAACCTCTATCTTTCTGTGTGGTCTGTGATATAAATGTACATGAGATGAAATGCACCTGTCTTTTCAATGTGTCTAATACTGAATTATACCTACATATTATATAAATATAAATATATATATGCTTTCTTTCCCTTCTTTTATTCATATAGTCCCACATCATCGTATTACATGCAAGTTTTATACTCTGTTTTTTATATTGCTTTCTTTCTTTGGGAAAAAAAAATAAATAAAATGTTTTCTTCAAAAATAAAGTGTGTCTTATTTCTATGATATGATCTATCTACAATTCAATTGTTTTATTCCATTTATAAAACGGTCCAGAAAGGTAATATTTATGGATATTTCAGATTTCTGAACAAGGTATAATTAAAGGACGACTATAGGCACCCAGACCACGTCAGCTCAATTAAGTGGTCTGGGTGCTAGATCCATCTAGTGTTAACCCTGCAGCTGTAAACATAGCAGTTTCAGAAAAACTGCTATGTTTACATTAGGGTTAATCCAGCCTCTGGTGGCTGTCTCACCGACTGCCGCTAGAGGCGCTTCCGCGCTTCTCACTGTGAAAATCACAGTGAGAAGATGCTGGACGTTCATAGGAAAGCATTGAGAATTTTTTTCCTATGGACTGTTTGAATGCGCACGCAGCTGTTGAACACTACAGCTCATTGCAGTGATTGTGTTTCTATGAGTGAAATGCACTTTACCACGGCTTCCTGTCAATCAAATGTAGAGCATTTTGATAAAATATGGAGCTTTGCACAGTACCCATATTCTGCCCTCTGTGTAGCCACACGTAATGCAGAAATTACACTTCTGCATTACAACTGTGAATTCATCTAAACCTGGATAGATGAGGATTCTGAGAGTACAAATAAACTAAACTCAGACTTCCTTAAATCAGCATAACTAAACAAATACCAAATCAAACTCTATAAATAAATTTCCACCGAAATAAATTGTTGACAAAAAATTAATGCACAGGACCAATCACCTGAAGAATAAGGAGTCAAATAAATAGAGTGTCAGCTAGTACAGACACTCCTCACTTACCGACCGGATTCCGTTCCTACAACCCAGTCGTAGAACGAATTGGTCGGTGAGTGAGGAGTTAAAGAATTCCCTGCTCTGCTGTGAACATAGATGAACGCAACAGAGCAGGGAATCCCTCTAATCTATGTTTGGGGAAATTTCCCCGAGCATAGATTAGAGGGATTCCCTGCTCTCGTGCATTCATCTATGTTTGGGAAAATGTCCCTAAACACAGACATGTGCACCAGAGCGGGGAATCCCTTAATCTATATTTGGGGAAATTTCCCCGAACATAGATTAGAGGAATTCCCTGCTCTGTTGTGGTCGTCTATGTTCAGGGACATTTCCTCAAACATAGAAGAACACAGCAGAGCAGGGAATCCCTTAAATCCTCACTTACCGACCAATTCATTCTACGACCGGGTCATAGGAATGGAATCCGGTTGGTAAGTGAGGAATGTCTGTACTAGATGAAAGCAGCAAGGTAAATCCTGACTGCATTTAGCTTTAGTACATCTGAGAATTAGCAATGTGGTTGTAATTCGGGCATTTTGTTGTTTAGTGAATAACCCTTTAACTTTCTACTTATGTATAGGGTTATTCACTAAAGTGAGAATTTCAAATATAAGGCTAAAGTAGTTGAGCTGAATGCACGGCTGACTTAGAGAATCTTTCTAGACCTTAGATTAGAAATGTACTTTGAATTCACCTTGAATTTTCACTAGTGAATAACCCTAATGAGAGTGCACAAAATGACAGAGAACAAAAGAAGCATAGATACACATGTGCAAGCACCTGAGGTAGGTGTGACAAAAATAGATAAATAAAAATAATCAAATATCCTGCTTTCAGATATTAATGAATAACCCGATTAAAAACAAAGAGAATCGGCTAGCAATCCCATATACAACGTAACTCTTAATTCAACGAATTAAATCCATACTATTCATCAATATTCATGATATTATGCAGCTAATTAGACCCAAAATCGAAATCATTTAAAAGTAATAGAAACATTGTAGTGCTTGTTGCAGGGTTAATTCCACCTAGAGACTTCTCCTGGTCCCTAACAGAGTTTCACTCTAAGGGAAACTCAGGACTGGTCTCAACACTGGAAAAAGGTAAGTATAACAGGGGTTTGAACACTTTAACCCCTTAAGGACTGAGACAGTTGTACACGCTGTGATCAAAACAAAACAAAAACTGGAATTTGCGCTATATGTCTGTTTAACTGTAATTCACCTCTTTTATATTAAGTGCACCCACACTTATTATATATCATTTTGTTCAGAAGAAAAAGGACTTTCATTTCACATGAACTATTCATATATGAAACATAATTTAATATGAACAAAATAAAAAAGTGTGAGAAATTAAGAATTTTAAAAAAAAATTAGTTCTCTATGACATTTTAACTGCGAATGTCATAATACTGTTAGCTTTTACTGCAATAAATTGCACATATTTGTATTCAGCAAAGTCTCATTAGTGATGTCCCGAACGGTTTGCCGAACGGTTCGCCGCGAACTCATCGTTGAGTAAACTTTGACCCTGTACCTCACAGTCAGCAGACACATTCCAGCCAATCAGCAGCAGACCCTCCCTACCAGACCCTTCCACCTCCTGGACAGCTCACTAAGAATGCAGCTTCAAAATGGATGCTGTCCAGGAGATGGGAGGGTCTGGGAGGGAGGGTCTGCTGCTGATTGGCTGGAATGTGTCTGCTGACTGTGAGGTACAGGGTCAAAGTTTACCTGCGCGGCGGGTGGGGCCATATTGATAATGGGGGGGGGGGACCTACTGTCCACCCCCCCGCTGGCCCCCACCCCTGGACGGTGGGTGGGGGCCATAAAGATAATGAGGGGGGGACCTACTGTCCTCCCCCCGGCCCCCACCCCTGGGCTGCGGGTGGGGGCCCTAAGTAAATTCCCCCCCCCAAGGTGACTAGGGGTCCCCAAGCCCCTAGTCACCCACCCCCCCAAATAAAAAGTCCCTACCTATCCCCCCCACCCTAAAAAATTGTGAGGGGGGAATAAAATAACTAACCTGTAAAATAAAATTAAACTTACCATTCAACGTCTTCTTTTTTCTCAAATCTTCATTTTTCAGCCCCAAAAAAGGCCAAATAACAAACCATCATAACCGTCGAACTAAAAAAAAAAAAATCCCGAGCGCAAAAAAAAAACAGACGAAAAAGAAAAAACCCGAGCGCAAAAAAATAATCCATCTTCACCCATGGAGGACTCCGCGCAGACTGAGCTCCGCAGGGCGGGGGAAGGCTTATAAAGCCTTGCCACTCCCTGCAATTAGGCTAAGAACACTCTGATTGGTGGGTTTAAGCCAATCAGAGTGCTCTTTGTCATTTTACACCGCGTGGGAAAATTCAAAAGAACTTTCCCACGCTGTGTAAAATGACCCACGCTGTGTAAAATGACACGCTGTGTAAAATGACAAAATTGAACTTTCCCACGCTGTGTAAAATGACACAGAGCACTGTGATTGGATGGCTTGAAATGGATATGGATGGCTCGCCGTTTGCGAACCGAAAATTTCACGTTCGCGACATCACTAGCATTTATATTTGTTTGTGTGTTATAAATGCAAAAAAACTATTATGAACGCTAATTTACAAAATTATATATATATATATATATATATATATATATTAATATCAAACTACAGTTAGAATAAAATTATATATGTATATATATATATATATATAATTTTGTAATTTTTAAAAATTATTTTTATTTTTTTTTATTTATTTTTGTGTATTTATTATTTACATTTTATAATAATATATATATATATATATATATATATAAATACAATATATTAAGTTATTATATATATATATATTATATATACGTGTGTAGTTTAATTCTAAGTGTATTTATATTAATATATGTATATATTAATATAAAAATACACTTAGTATGACATTATATATATGATATATATACATATTATATATAGATATAATATATGTATATATATATATATATATATGTATCATATATACATATATTTATATATATATATATATATATATATATATGATATATATATATCATATATATATATATATATATATATATATATATGATATATATATATATATATATCATATATATATATATATTATATATATATATATATATATATATATATCATATATACATATATATATATATATATATATCATATATACATATATCATATATACATATATATATATATATATATATATATATATATATTTCCTGGCCATATCCATAGCAGCACAACAATGGGTAGCTCCTCCCTATCCCTAACCAGACAGGAACCTAATTAAAACAGAAGGTAATTAACCCCTCCTACCCCTCCCACCCTCAGTCTTTTTGTTCCTGTCCTATCCCTAGGACAGATTTAGTCATTCTAAGACTAGATAATTTTTTCTTTTTGACTTACCTGAGGGTTGTTACCTTCTCCCTCAAGGGAGTTCAGCCTCTCTCCCTTGGGCAGTCTCCAGTACACGGCCCTGTGCAAAGGTGACCCCCTGGAGAGACCCCTTTAGTGACCGGGGGTTCTAACTTGCTGTGACCCTAGGGGTAGCAAGATCATGCCATCATCATGATTCCTGCAGTGACCAAGAGGTAGCAGGCTGGGCATGCACATACAGAGCATATGGATTTACTTGCGGTGACCCTAGGGGTAGCAAGATTATGCCATCATCCTGTCTCCTGCAGTGACCAAGAGGTAGCAGGCCGGACATGCACATACAGAGCACATGGATTGCAAGGATTAATATGGCATTGACTAACATTCCATTGCTGAAGGAGTTAATGTGAGTCAGACTAGGATTCCATCGCTGAAAGGGTTAAAGTACAACTTACTATCGTTTACTTTGCCATGGATTTACTTGCTGTGAACCTAGGGGTAGCAAGATTATGCCATCAGCCTATTTCCTGCCGTGACCAACGAGTAGCAGGCCGGACATGCACACAGATTGCAAAGATTCTATGAGATTAACATTTCATCACTGAAAGAGTTAATGTGAGATGGACTAGCATTCCATCACTGAAAGGCTTAAAGTACAACTCACTATCTTGTACTTTCCAATGGATTTACTTGCTGTGACCCTAAAAGTAGCAACATTTTGTCATCAGCCTATTTCCTGCAGTGACCAAGGAGTAGCAGGCTGGGCAGGCACATACAGAGCAAATATATGGATATAACCCCTTCTACCCTTCATCAGTTTCATCTAAACGGTAAGAGATTCATGCTAATCTGAATTTCTATCAAACATATTCCTAGGCTTCTGTGTCTTATTCCAAGGCCTCTGTGTCTTTTAATATATCCACTAGGTTACTTATTCCTAGGCCTCTGCTGGGCCTTTTAAAATAGCAGTTGGATTAATTTATTCCTAGGCCTCTGTTAGGCCTTTTAATATAAGCACTGGAGTCACTTATTCCAAAGCTTCTGTGTCTTTTAATATGTCCACTGGATTACTTATTCCTAGGCCTCTGCTGGGCCTTTTAATATAGCAGCTGCATTAATTTATTCCTAGGCCACTGTCGGGCCTTTTAATATAGCCACAGGAGTCACTTATTTCTAGACTTCTGTGTCTTTTAATGTATCCACTGGATTACTTATCTCTAGGCCTCTGTTGGGCCTTTTAACTGGAGTCACTTACTCATAGGCTCCTGTGTCTTACTCCTAAGCCTCTGTATCTTTTAATACAGCCATAGGAGTCACCTTTTCCTAGGCATTTGTTATGCCTTTTAATATAGCAGCAAGCTTTTTCCTAGGCCTCTTTTGGGCCTTTTATTTTAAACGTTGGATTTACTTATTCCTAGGCCTCTGTTAAACCTTTTATTGTGAGGCATAGATAGTTCAGTGGGCTAATACCTCATCAGAAGAGTCTGTTTGTCATTTGGGGCTCACCAGTTCAATTCCCTGCAGGGCTGACTCAGTCCTTAATTGTAAATAAAATGCGTACACTTGGAAACCAGAAAATATCTGAATGTCTCTTTCCTGGTTCAAGATTTGCAATAATTGTTTCTAGTGCCTTTTAATACAGCTGCTGGGTTCACTTATTCTATGTGCTTTTTAATTTCATTATTATATGCCTCCATGTTGGTTTTATGTATTCACTAAATGTATTATCCTATTTCAATGTCTCTGTACTTGGTAATAGGCTATTCACTGTTCTGTTCCTCTATCTCAGCCTTTCAACCTGTTTTATTTTAAGTCCTTAAGTTTCCATTCTTACTTTTGGGCCCATTCAGGTTTTTTCCTCTGCGTTTAATCACCTGCGAATACGCAGGTGCTAGTCCAATGGTTGCGCCATGCCATTACCGCGCATGCGCGGAAATCTGATTCGCTCCTGCGTATTCTAAAATGTAAG